GCGTTGCGAATTTGCACAATAAGTCATATTGTAAATAAAAAAACCTGACAAAATGTAAGAACACTTGCTATAATCTATAATTATTTTTTTAATAAACGTTCCCAATAATATTAAAGACATTTATCGCTATTTTAAAAATCTTCATAAATATATCTATGTATTGCTACACTAATATAATATTACTTATTTGCATTCGGAAGGACTTTGGTTAGAAACACTATTTCAACTAGATTATTTTTTTAACACATATTTTGACATCAAAGACATTAGGTTCGTATTAAATCATTGAATACAAAACACTTGTTTTCTTAATAAATCTTGGTTTAATTAAATAATGGCACGTGGTATTAAACTAGCAAGAACTCTTAGCAAACCATCTTCAGTTACATGTATAGGCTTTTAATACGAACGCATTGCGTTTCATTAATATTTATGACTATTTTTCAGGGTTGTCAACTGTGAAACTAAAAATAATGCAGCAATAAATCAGACAATACATTTTCTGGTATCCGCCTTTTAGAAAACAGCAAGCACAATATTTTGGTCATTATAATGTACACACTGCTGCACGTCAGACCATACATTGTAGATATTGTACCGACAGCGCTTCGTATAGAAATTTTCTACTAATAGAAGTCTGCTGGTGGTGGCATGTAGCGTGACATGCGTCCGTGCGTACATTATAATGACACCATAAAAAGTAGATGATGTATTATATTGGATTAAATTTAAAGAACATCATAACAGACTCAGCGTGAGACTTTTAAAGTTTTTTGTATGGGATTTTTATGTTTGTATCATGTATAAAACATTTTCGTGATAACATCGTTTCACTATCATTAGATGGCGTAATAATTGATTAACCTTATGTTATTATTATTATTACCTTATTAGTGCGCTCGGTTTGCGATACGGTTGTTAACTTTCACAAAGGGTCGGTCATAAGATGGGCGAACAAAAATTTTATTATCTTAAGCTCCCCGTACTTCAGAATGCATGTTAAACCGTTGGTCCCAGCTGCATATGCACTCGTTAACACCCATCAAACCGCACTGAACTCATCACGATTCCATTCTCCCTATTCGGTTTGATTAGCCTCCACGCATAGGAAAGATATAGGCTATAAGCATAGATTAATAAGCTGATAATAATGATATAAAGCATAAATTATAATAAGTATGGTCAGTAACAATTTCCGGAAATTGAATCTGAAAATTAAAAAATACACAACCCTAGTACCACAATTATTTTACTACAAAGTCATCGTCTCCTGTCACAGCAGAATCATAATAAATGATCGTGAAAAAATTATGTTTGCCTAATTTACTTTCACAGCCGACCAATAAGGAAAAGTTTAATGCAAAATTCTCAACACACAAAAAGTACTTTTCTGTGTTTAAAAAGTAAAAGCAATTTTTAAAAATAAAGGAGTTTGAATATCTCAGTTGAAAACCTTTAATCGATCTATGTACATATTGAAATAGGTCGAAATGGGCTGGCTGGAAGAACTTAACAAAGTAGGTAGGGACCTAATAGTTTGATGTCTCTGAAAGTAGATAATATTCTTTTTCAAAAAGTTATAGACTCTCTTGAACTCTATTACTTGTATTATAGACTTCCAAAACATCAAAATAAATCATTTATGTGTAGATTCTCTCTCCATTTTCTATTTCAAAACGTACAAATTGCATTTTTATCACATATTGTCAATGATATTACAATAAAAAAGAGCATATAGCCCTCAGATCAACTCTAAGCACATACAACAATTAATTAATCAAAACCAAAGTTAATAAAAAATATTTGTCAACCTTTTATTAAGTTGATAATTAGGTATATTTACTGTTTAAAATGTTACTTTGTTATAATGAAGGCTTTGAGTCATCCAATAACGCAGGGAGCGTTAATGTCATTAGACACTTTTGTTATTTGAAACTGTCCAAATCATAGAGTCAACAATACGTGATGAATCCACCACAAAAGCTATTATGTCAGAGTTCAAATTACCGAAAACAAGGTTTATATCGCCTCGGAACATTTAATAACTAGTACGTTAGACCCCATTCGGTTTATGTTTGAAGGGTTGAGGCGTGACATATTTCGTAGCAAATGACATAGGTAGGATACTACGCCTACGAATAATACGGATTAACAAAGCTTATAAGTTGTTGAAACGATTTAATTTTTGAAAGCTTACTGTCAATCGTTAATTAAAACATATTTTAGCACCAAAATTAATCTTCATAAACGATAGAAGTTCGTTATAGCTCTTTGTAAAATCGATATTTTAGATTTATTCAATTTTACTGTTTATTTTTGAACGATTTGAAATATCCATTTATTTAATTGAATCTTCCCGCATGTTATAAACCCGTCATTCTGAGATAACATCTAGACTCCAGACCATACATTTGATTATAAATAATAATCTAAACATAAATACATAACTAAGTACTCATCCATATGAATGAAAATGGATTCAAATAAAAATAGATTCAAATACGTTTACATCGCAAAACTAAATGGGCAAGCAAGTTGATGTCTCAAATTTCAACAATACGAAACTCTTTCCTTTGAGAATTTTGCAGGTGTTTGCCAAATCGTATATGTGTGCGATTCCCACGCGACTAAACTTCGACGTTAAGAGCCGAAACGAGGAGTCATACCAGTTCCAATTACACGAAGGGTCAGTTAACTCGATTAAGAAAGATATATCATATAATTTATATTTGATTTTGTGCTGTACAAGAGAGCAAGTTGATAATTATTTATTTTCTTTTAAAAGTGACGAAATAAAAACAAAGCATCGTTACTTTATTTTTATTTTACTAGACTTTAAAAAGTTAATCATTTCTTTTTCTTTTTGGTCTTAATGCATTTTTCTACAATTAAATTCCCTATATAAATAAGTTTAAATTTACGCTTAAAATGTACCTACTTATTAAGATACTATTATAAGGTATAGGTACTTTATAAATTTCATTGATATATTGTAAAATCATAGTTATATTTGTACTTTTTTTACATATTATAATGGAAAGTGACTTTATAGTCTAATGAAGTCATTTTCCGATTAGAATTCTCAATATGAAATAAAACAAGGAGGAAAAAGCAGCCCTTGCTGAGTTTCTTGCTGGTTCTCAGTAACAGAGGTCTTCGGGCGTAGATTTACGAACCGATGCATTACTGTAGTATTCCAAATTTTACAAATTTGAAGTTAAGTATTAGCTCTCTTCCACTTAGCATACTTTCTTTTTGCTGCTCGGTGAGAAGTGACTACCTATTGTTTTTCTGGGCTCAATTAATGATGTCTTGTTGTGATGCAATTATCGCGAAAGAATCGGAAACTTCCATTTTCCTAGATTGTACAAAATTCGTCATCATTCTTATTAGGCATTTATTGGTAAAAAGTCAATTAAGGGCTACCTACGAGACCTATTTAATATGTTTTCCTAATGTTTGTATATATTGCAGAGCTATGATTTTTATGGGAAGAATAGTTATACATTAGTTCTAATTTTTAATGCCACAAATCCACCATGGCAACCAGCATATGTATGCAATCACACCAGCACGAGACATCCGAACTTAGCAGTGCTCACAGCGGACGCACACGGAATAACGAAGTTATCTCCACGGGGGAACACAATAGCATCCTGCAGGGTGCACTTAGACACATTTGCGGGAAATGGTTGGTTACCGAAAGTTGTAACTCTATCTTAAAAATCCTGCCCTCAAAATTGATGTCAATTCACGTTTTTTCTAATTTATTGTTTTTTGCTAAAGGAATTATAGTACCTAAAATTTAACTTACTTTTCCTTTCAATACCTATTAAATTTATCAGCGTCATAGAAGAATTGACTACAACTGCACAGCAACCTTGTAACTCTGTAGCTTTAGCGTATAGGATACGTCATGTTAGCGATTTTTCGTTTAATTTTACTACATTAACATATACTTAACGAAGAACGAATGATAAAATAATAATAATAATAATTTATATGCGAATGAATAATATGCATTTTAAAAGAGATGTAAAATGTAATACAATTATCACCTATTCAGCCATTAACAATAGCATGCAAATGTAGTAAAAGAAGTCACTATAAGCACCGACCAATCCACCCCGAACTAACTTTCAGTTTCCATATTCGCTAGGATGTCAGATCCTAAGGTTAGATTTATGGCTAGAGAGTTAGAACGTTGCACCCCTGAACCCCACAACACTTTTCTTTGATCATATTGCCCAGACAAAAATATGTTTCATCTCCGAACAAGAGAATAAGCTGCATAGCCGAGTGATTCGCATACCGGATTCAAAGTGTCGCCAATTCAGAGGTCCCAGGTTTTATTTTTAGTCGGGTCAATGTTTGGATGTTGTGGTACCTACATTATCTAAAATACCTTGATAATACGAGACCTTTTAGCTACTCCTCTTAGAACCCGATAAATTTTCTGAGTTGAGAGAAAGTTTACAAGGTCAAACCAGATAATCTTTTTTTCACCATTATCTTGATTTTAATGACTTTAATCGCTCCAACCAATGATTTAACTAACTAGCTAGTAGTTCTTCCTAAACTTTTAAAAGTCTTAACGGATATGAAAGTCATTCCAAATACTAAAAACTCATAATTCATTAGAACCGTTAATTTATGAGTCACACTGCTTTATTAAAAAAAAAAAACAATATGGCGGATGTATGACGCCTCTCGAGAAACGTAGAAATATTTATTCTATAATTTAAGCAATACGAGTGTCAAGTTATAGTAAACCCCAAAGATACATAACTTGTGTAAATTAGAACAACTGTTGTGATCAAGATTTTATGAGATTTTAAACGGAGGATATTTATTTGTATACGTTTTTCCACATAAAAGTTCTCATTTCTAGACTAAAAATTTCTTTGTATAAATGACAGAGTTATAACGACTTATTTAAATTTTATAATTTACAAAAGAGTTGAAAATAAATGACACAAAGTTAAATCAAATAGTTTTATTTATCTTCGTGGAGGCGCAGACGCTGCATCAAAATGTATATGAAACAATCTGTATGCGAAATATTCCATCAAAGCCAATCCTAATGGGTACAACATCTTGTGTCCCATTTGCGGGGTCAATATATACGCAAATATAGCAGCACCAGCTGTGTACCAACCATACTCTCTACCGTTCTCGAACGAGTAGTGACATAGTGATAGAATATTGCAAGCTATGACAAGATTCCCTAGATGAACATTATCATCACCGGCCAACGCCAATGCAAAAGGAACCAGTCCAGATAGAAGATGGATCGAACTCAAAGTTTGGTTGGAACGATATATATCGGCCATGAGGCAAGGCAAAGCGAGATATCTTGTAGCTTTGTAGCTAATTACGTAGGCTGCTTTGAAATCGTTGTCGAGCAGTCCGCCTGTTGAAACAAAATAGCAATACAATGAATAAATTCCAAAAAATACGTAAACGTATCGTTATATAAATAACATCAAATCATAAATTTGCTAAAATCACAAATTAAATACGTTCTTTGCTATTGTGAATAATTAAAACCAGATACGAGACGACATAGTATTGTTTTTTTAAATTGATTCAGCCAAATATCGAGCCAGTCAAAACAATAAAGAAGTAAACTAAATTAGGTCAACGCAACAGCGCATCAAGTTATCTAAAAGTCTCACACTCTAAATAATTTAAAACTTTAATACATTGAAAATAAAGCTTAATATTGATTTCGGATATGTGGCAACCTGAATTCTCTCAACTCCAAATAAAATAATAATATGTAAGATAAAAAGACTTATGTATTTTCTTGATAAATATTTTAAACAGAAAAAAAAAACAAACTGACAATGACAAAGAATATAAAGAGAAAAAACAAAGTGGCCTATCAAAAGATATATGAAAGAAGGTTGGTGTGTAAACTAAATAGTTCCAACACTTCCCCTACTTCTGAATAAATTAATAGGCCATTATAAATGTTAAATTAAACCTAATCCTTTCGTTAAACACTGATGTCTTTGCTTCGATAGAAACTTGGTTAAGACATCTGCCTTCATTTCATTTGTCGGAATATATTGTATACCAATAATACCACTAGCAACAGTATCCCTAATAAAATGATGTCTAACATCAATGTGCTTTGTTCGTGAGTGATGAACGTTATTTTTTGTTAGCAGTTGAGCTCCCTGATTATCACTATAAATACAGACACCATTATCTAAACCAAACACTTCCTTCAATATGTTTTTGAGATATATGGATTCTTTTGCAGCATCACTAAGTGCCATATATTCGGCTTCGGTTGTTGACAAGGCGACCGTTCGTTGTTTACGTGATTCCCATGATATAGGTCCATTTAAATAAAATACATATCCAGTGTAGGATTTCCGGTCTTTTAAACATGCACCATAATCAGCATCAGTATAGCCCGTAAGAGTGAGTATATTTTTCTTCTGGAATCGGAGTTTAAGATGCATTGTCCCTTTTAAATATCGTAGAACTCTTTTTGCTGCATTCCAGTGAATTGTCCCATAATTAGAATTAAACTGGCTTAACACACTTACTGCATGTGTAATGTCTGGCCTAGTTCCTACAGATAGATACATAAGAGAACCAACCAGTCTTTGATAAGGCAAATGTTGAGCTGCTTCTTTATCTTCATTTGAAGGATTCACTAACTTTAAATTAGGATCAGCAGGTGTACTAGCCGGTTTTGCATCAGTCATAGCAAAATTATCTAGTACCTTTTTAATATATTCTTCTTGATCAATGGCTATACCATTTTCCTCTTTTGCGATTCTCATTCCTAAGAAATGTTTTAAGTTTCCTAAATCCTTGACCTTAAAAAATTGTTTAATATCCCTTTTAAAATTTTCTTTCATATCAGCATTATTACTGAGAATGCAAAAATCATCAACAAAGATTGCAACAATTAACATGCAAGTTTCATTAACTTTATAATATAGGCAATGATCATGTTCAGACCTTTTCATTCCAAGTTGCATCATTGCTTCGTTAAGTTTAAGGTTCCACTGTCTAGGCGCTTGTTTTAAACCATAAAGTGCTTTCTTTAACTGGCATACCTTCCCCTTGTTGCATTCTTTAGTGAAACCCTCAGGTTGTTCCATATATATTTCTTCATTTAGATCACCGTTAAGAAAAGCAGTTTCAACATCCATTTGATCCATTGTTATATTCCATTGTGCTGCGAAAGCAAGCAGTAATCTAACTGTTGAAAGGCGTGAAACGGGTGCGAATGTTTCGTCATAATCTACGCCGTAAGTTTGTGTAAAGCCTTTGGCTACTAATCGTGCCTTATAGCGTGTGTTTTCTCCGTTTTCATTTTTCTTTATTTTGAATACCCATTTACAACGGACTATTTTTCTATTTTTAGGTCTATCCACAAGGACCCAAGTTTTGTTAGTTACAAGTGAGTCATATTCACTTTGAAGAGCCTCTTGCCATTTATTTTTATCATCAGAACTAATGGCTTCCTTAAAGGTTGAAGGGATATCATCTTCTTCAGCTTTGTAGAGAACTATATCTTCTGACCACTTTTTCGGGATTCTGTTTCTCAATGGATATCTCCTAACAGGTTGAGAAACTTGATTGTTTGTACTATCCGAAATTTCAGTAACACTGTCATAAAATTCTTCTTCAGTGTCGTCATTTCCAGTTACCTGTGTGTGTGTTAAAGGTTCAGTTTCGATATTGTTGATTTCTCCTTCAGTTAGTATATTTTCAGAATTTTCTGTAACTATAAAAGGTTCAGTAATAATGTTGTTGACTTCTCCTTCGTTTGGTATATTTTCAGAATTTTCTGTAACTATAATAGGGACGGATTCTGATACTTGAGTTCCAACTTTATCAACCATATTATTTTGATCACTTGACTGCGATTTGAATAAAAAATCATTTTCAAAAAATTTTACATCTCTTGTCTTAATAAGAATTTTTGGATGTTCAGGATCAACTACTCTGTATCCCTTAGTTTCGGTGCAATAACCTACAAATATGCATAGTTTGGCCTTAGCATCAAATTTCTTTCGAAGAATTTTAGGTATGTGCGCATAAACTCTGCATCCAAATATACGAAGATGTGAAAGATCCACTTTTCTTCCTGTCCAGATTTCTTCAGGGGTTTTCCCTCTAATAGCCTTAGTCGGTGAGCGATTTTTCAAGTAAGTCGCTGTATTGATTGCTTCTCCCCAATAACTTTGAGGTAGAGCAGATTCTGAGAGCATAGATCTGGCTTTCTCTACTAAGGTTCTGTTGACTCTTTCAGCCAGGCCGTTTTGCTCTGGATTGTGAGGCACAGTCGTTTGGTGAACTATACCGGACTGTTTCAAAATTTCTTTCATTTCCGAATTCAAATATTCACCACCGTTGTCAGAACGTAGAATTTTAATCTTTTTGTCAGTTTGGTTCTCGGCTAAGCTTTTGAATTCGCGAAATTTTTCCACAACTTCTGATTTTTGTTTAATTAGGTAGGTAAATGTTTTTCTAGAAAAATCGTCAGTGAAAGTCACGAAATATGAAGCACCTCCCAAAGATTGGGTACTCATAAATCCGCAAACGTCACTGTGAATAATTTCCAACAAATTTGTCGATTTTGAATCTGACGTTTTGAAAGGTTGCTTTGATAATTTACCTTCCACGCAAGCAATGCAATTATCTTTAATAGATCCAGCAGGCTTTGGATACCTGACACCAAGAGCTAAGTTTTTTCTAAGCAATTCCATAGATCTGAAGTTCAGATGACCAAGGCGTTTGTGCCATAATTCAGCTGAATTTTCTTTAACTTCTGTTAAATTCGCGTGAGCAGTAGGTAAATCAAGTTTGTACATACCATTGATATTTGAGGCTGTGCATAAAACTTTTCCGAATACCTTACACGTTTCTCCATCAATAATTTTTCCTCCAGATTTCGAAAAAAGTACGACATTCCCTTTCTTTACCAATGAGTTCACTGAAAGCAGGTTCGTTGAGAGGTTCGGAACATGCAAAACATCGGTAATATTGGAAGTGTTTAGTTTTACAGTACCAATGGCATCTGAAAGAATTATTTGATCATTAGCTATTCTAATACTTTTCGTGACAGGTTTAGTATCATGTAGCCAATCACGTCTATTAGTCATATGACTTGTAGCCCCGGAATCTATAAACCAGTTATCACTCTTTGCAAGAAGCGACTTATCAAAAATTGGTTTACACATAAAAGAGTTTACAAAAGTTTCACTAATCTCCAAATTATCAAAATTAGAATTAGTCACGGACTGATCATCAACCACAAGTGTTACCTCGCAAATTTCGGCCTTTTCATCTTTGGATTTAGCTTTAAGAATTCTACAATTTGGTTTTATATGCCCTGGTTTACGGCAGTAATTACAAAATATGTTCTTAGTGTCTCTATTAAATTTGTTGTAAGACAACACTAAAGCACTATCTTCAGGTGTTTTACTGCAGGTGGCTAGATCTCGGCTGTCTTCTTTCATAAGTGCAGCAATGACATTGTCTGATGTTAGTTCAGTGCCAGAATGTTCCAATGCCATGACGAGTGGCTTAAATTGATCGGGTAGATTACAAAGCAGTATAATTGCAACAAACGAATCATCTACTTTGTGGTTTATTTGTTCTAATTGTTGGTGTGTCGACATAATCTCATTAACATAAGTTTCCATATTATCAATATATCGACAGTTCATTAGTTTTTTCATTAACATGAGCTTTCTAATAAGTCCGCTGTCTGCGTATGCCCTTTTTAAGTTATTCCACGCTTCAAATGCAGATTTACATCCCATTATTTTAGAGAAGACTCTTTCATGACAGCACAAGCCAATTTTAGATCGGGCTCTGTCATCAGAGCGTTGCATTTCTGGTGAGCTATTGTCAAAAGGTGGATGCTTCACGCAATCCCATAGTCCACAATCAATCAGCATCATCTCCATTGAGAATGCCCATGTTGCATAGTTTGAACGCCCTTCTAATTTGTTAAAAGATGGAGTACTTACTGTATGTGCAGTTGAAATATAGGATACTACACTACTATTACTTGCGTTTGTATGAGAGAAAGGTTTTGTACAAGAATCTCCTTCCATTTTTTTTATGTTCGAATTGCAAAAATTTAGAGTATCAGAGCTCCTGGGCCCATAACCAAAAGGAACTTATTGCCTTTAAATAGGTATTCTCTCAACTCCAAATAAAATAATAATATGTAAGATAAAAAGACTTATGTATTTTCTTGATAAATATTTTAAACAGAAAAAAAAACAAACTGACAATGACAAAGAATATAAAGAGAAAAAACAAAGTGGCCTATCAAAAGATATATGAAAGAAGGTTGGTGTGTAAACTAAATATGGGCTGCAGCACGCGTAGCATGACAAACTCGAGAACTACACTGAAATGTCACTTTTCTCGGATTCACCCATAAGTTATCTCACTCTCGACCCGAGAAACTGACAAATGAGTGTAGAAAAAGCGTTTCTCGAGTTTGTGATGCTACGCGTGCTGCTGTGTCTGCAATATACTGACTCTGATAGTGAAGGAATCCGAGAATTCCATGTAAGAAGAAATTGGCGTGCATTCCCGGATCGGTGAAGCTTTTGTTACGCATGTTGCTAATCCCCCGCCCGGCCACGGCACACAGCACAATATGTGCGAAAGAGGCTTGAACGTCATCATCTTGTCCCATAACAACTCAACCAGACAAATCTGTAAACATTCGGCGTTACATAAAAATAATTTTCTAAATATGATAAATTAAATAAATTAGTTCAACAGTGACAAACTGGAAAAAACTATCGAAATAAATTGTCAAAACGAACTGTCTCGCAATTTTTCTTTAATCGAGTTATTTTTTAAAATAACAAAAGAGTGTTAAACCTAAAAAAGGGTTCATATGTATCGTATCTATTTGATGTGATTATATTGTGCAAATAAATTTATATTTACTGTTTTATGCGGTTAGGTTGTAGGTATACAGTAAAGTTTTCATTTTTGTTTGAGGTGTTATGATAAAAAAAATCCAGCTAAACCCTTTCCATAAAAGTTATAGTTTACGTTTCGTAAATGAATAGTAAGGAATGAATTTGAGATAAAGGCTAATCTAGAGGTATGGAAAAGAAGAATACATTTTGCCGATCTCAAATCAAATTTTGATAAGGTTTACCCTTATTAAATGATGAAACTTTAGGACTCTTTCTTTCCTTTTTTTTCTAAAACTAAAGATGGCAATACTAATTTATGATCAACAAGTTATGACGGAAACCAAGCGCGAAACTCATTTTTGAATTGTGAATGTGATAAATCTACAACCATGAGAGACGAAAGGTATTGCCACAGATTATATGGTATTGCCTCGCAAAAGTGTGAAAAGTATTCACATTCACATTCAATACACGTGAGAGTAGGATAATCGATATTCATCGATGTTGAATAAACATCGATGTTGAATAAACATCGATGTTAAGCTAGAAAACATCGATGTTTTGTGATCAATGTTTTAATTTCGATAGCATCGGCACATCGATGTTTTCTAGCCAAACATCGATGATTACGAATAAAATATCAATAAAACCTAAGGGTCATCTTACATGCTCTAGATGTACTAGCTAGATGATCTCGTATATCAAGTTCGACTTTTTTACATGAGATGTCACCGGTTGCACACGTAACTGGAGTAACCAAACAAATAGTATTTTTCTTTGCTTGCATTTTCCAAGGAAGTTAAAAATAAATCTGTCAACTTGTACTTTTGAAGTAATTTAACTGATAACGTACTTCAACGACTATTACTATTTTATAGGTTATTTTGAGAACAAAAATAAATAAATTGCCTGTAAGAAGATTACGATACTAACTGCTTGCTGCTTTTGTTTCGCAATGAAGGTGTAAAGGTTCAAGAAGATTCTTTTTATTTAATACATATGAATTTTTATGTATGTTATACATACATATCTAAAAATACATATTTTACATGCATGTTTACAAAGGCTGGCTCTACTCTTTATCAATAAAGAAGTAAATTAAAAGGTTCTTCTTTATCAAAATTAGTTTTCCTTCAATCAGTTGATAAAAAACATTGAAATATGTAATAATTTGTCCTGTTTCTTAATAAATTTCGAAAGATTTCACTGTATTTTATTTCTTTGTAAATTATTGCAAAAAAGTTTAGTTTTCGATAATTATCGAACATCGATGTTGGGCTTACGATGATGACATCGATGTCAACATCCCTACGTGTGGCACGCCATTCTCTAAAGCTTGTAGATACTCATTGAGATAGAGACCAGATATGTGCTCGAGTACGCAAAATAGTCTCGTGAGAGAAATATATCCGTTTCTTTCTAATATATTAAACAACACGCGAAAATAACAAAATTAACACGGCTTCCCTAGACGACAACAAAAATGTATTTCTCGCTAAATGAGGAAATATTTAAGAAAAATTTTAGTTCCCGAAATCAAACTAGTTGTCGCTACCGTACGTTTTTGATTTCTCCATGACAGCCATTCCGGTTTTCTTTAAAGTTTAAATGTGAATTATTTTTCAAAACTCAATAAACAAGTCATATTCAATTTGTGCTTTTTCGTATTTGTGTTTATATCTAAGTTTAGAACTTTTCAAATTTAATTTTTTTATATGTTAGTTAAAAGGAACAAAAATGACTGTCTTTAGTCCATTCGTTTGCTGCAAAAATCAACTTTAGCTAGGGTCGCCATCAAGTGGAGGTGCTTTTTTAGTGCTTTCGTTTTTTTAAATACTTCCTCATTGTCCTTGTTTATTGATTCTAGGTCAATTTGCTCTTTGTTGTAAGTAGTCTCTGCCGGAAATACTATATAAATCAAATATATATATATATATATATATATATATATATATATATATATAAATCAAGTACTCCCAGCTAAAAAGTCAAGTGAGATATCAAGTATAGAGGCTATTTGTCACTTTCTAATGAGGCGACAATAACATTTTAAATAAGTGATACTTTTCTTATGGTTCAGTTTTTAACTACTGCGGCTATTGTCGGACAGAATACTTTTTGTTACATTAAATATAAATTTATGATTTATTTTAGATACATTAAAGGCATTTTGTGCAATTTGATATCGATGAGCGATATCACATGAATCAGACGCCCTTATAATATGTATGGAGTTAACTCGTGAGATTGCACAGTTCCCACGCACCAGAAAAGAAAACAGAGCAAAAACTCACCACACCCTGCTCCACCTCACACAAAATAATCACCCGTCCCATTCCTAGTCTTTGCGAACATCGCTTAATCTTCGCAAGTGCAAACCAAACGCGCTAACCACTTGTACACGAGCATTTGAAACCGTAAACTTACACACTTTACTTTATAAATAAAACTATAGGTATTGAATTTGGAAAAAGTTGTTTTATATTACGGATCTCCAATAAAACGCTCGAATTGCATCTTGCTCTATTGGTATGATGCAATTTAAACCGACGATAGATTTGGTTTTGAGCCATGAGTAAAGAGTCTTAGGATAATACCTTAAAAATAATACACAAAATCTCAAAAGTGCTTAGGGCTTAAAAAAGTCCACTATGTCCCTGACACTTTAAGATGGGACTCGGACTCATAACTTGAACCCTTTAGCAATCCGGGCACAAAAAGGATTTTTAAATATTTTTCATTAAGAAGTACACTTCAATTGCTAATATTAAAGTTCATTTTGATTATAACTATTTTTCAAAGTTATAAGTCCTGTTATATTAGTACTAAGTCCATGGGCTAATATTGTACCTTCTTGGTCTGTGAGCAACACTTTATAATCTGTGCTTTACCGTCCGCCCATAGACTTCAGCCATAGAGTAATTTATATTCTTCAGCCATTTTGCTGCTTTTCTGACAACAAAAATCGTGTCTTTTCACGGGAAAACTAAAGAAATTGGTATAGGATTAGTAAAATTGTGGTGTGTTATCTATTTATACTAATCCAGGATCACATATAAAAATACGAAAATGGCAGCGAGCGATTCCGGGACAGATGAGTCACTTTATCCTATTGCTGTCCTAATCGACGAGCTCAAAAATGACGATGTACAGCTCCGATTGAATTCTATCAAGAAATTATCCACTATTGCTTTGGCTCTTGGCGTGGAAAGAACAAGATCTGAATTGATCCCTTTTTTAACTGAAACAATATATGATGAAGATGAAGTACTCCTTGCACTTGCTGAACAACTCGGTAACTTATCACTGTTTACCTCTTTACTACCCTTCTTTGTCGAGATTGATTGAGTTTACACATTATTGTTATGGACTAATTTTTAAAAATCTAGTAAACATTACTAAATTGTTTAAAATATAACCTTACTCTCGTCTACAATGAGATATTGATACCTTTCCAACTTTCTTACTTACTACTATGAGGCTTTGTAATATTACAACTTTACTTTGCCGAAAGTTTTCATATAAAATTTTTTTATTTATTATGTATGTTGCAAATTATACAAAAAATAGATATTGGTCTTCTTAATGAGAAATGCTTAAAAATCCACTTTGTTCTGATACTCTAAGATAGGGTTTGAACCCACGACTTTCAACGAAATCCGGGCGACATTAAGAATATTTTCCATTATAGCATTGAACAAATCTTCATCTTTATAAACTGGCACAAAGTGAATTTTAAGAATTTCCAGTTTTTTTTTACGTTACTTAGAATTGCTTCTGTGTTATAGTTTGAATAATTTGTAGACTATTGTAAAGTATATATTTGAAAACATTTTAATATTTTTGAAATTGTGGTCATCCTAAAAATAATAGTGTGATAACACATATTTCACTTTATTTTAAACGAAATAATGTATTAATTTTGAAGATAACACAAAATAAAATAAAATATTTTTTGTCATTTTAACCGAGATGAAAATGCTTTGTAATTGATTGCAATTCCGATGACTTATATGGCTTTCTATTGATGAATAAATATGGCTTTCTGTTGATGATTTAATTATGATAAGTTTTGTTTATTTACTAGCATGTAACATTATATTTGACATATGAGAGACGCAGCATTTTACATACAGTTTTGGAAATTAAAATTTTTAGCTTTAATAATTTATTGATAAATACAGTATTTCCCACAAATATTAATGTAATGTGATTATTATGTAATAAAGAATAATTCAAAACAATGTTTCAAGATTAGTCAAATACCTTATTTTATTAATAATTGTTATTACTAAAACAATTTCCATTTTTAAATCTATAGGGAACTTCATCAACTTGGTTGGTGGTGGTGAGTATGCCCACTGCCTCCTTCCACCTTTGGAGTCGCTTGCTACAGTTGAGGAGACAGTAGTCCGTGATAAGGCAGTGGCATCATTAAGAGCTGTAGCGGCCCACCATTCACCTCAGGCTCTGGAGCAGCACTTTGTGCCATTAGTGCAACGGCTTGCTGGAGGAGACTGGTTCACCTCAAGAGCTTCAGCCTGTGGACTCTTCAGGTAAAAATTAGTAAAGCAAATATGATTCAACTTGTTATTAACTCTTAATCTCAATGTTAGGTTAATGCAATTACCATCATAAAATATGCTTTATTAAATTGTCACATTAATTACTAACTATCTAAATGTATTTTATGAAAAGTCATTAAGGAGCAGGTTTAACAATTTTCGATACATAAAAAACTGTTTAATATTCAGATAAACATTCTAAAGTTATTAAATTGTGACTGAAATTTATGGATAACCCAAAATTGCTTAAATTTGAAAATAATTTTAACTATATTATGCATTTATATCTCTTTAAGTGTATGCTACACACGCGTCTCTGCCCCTGTAAAAGCGGAACTTCGCCAACATTTCCGTACATTATGTCAAGATGACACTCCGATGGTACGTCGTGCTGCAGCATACAAGCTCGGAGAATTTGCGCGCGTCGTCGAAGTCGAATATGTCAAGAGTGACCTCATCCCAATGTTTGTAACGTTAGCTGAAGTGAGTACTTTCTTAAAATTTGTTATGCTCATATAGACATTAATTATAAAGTTTTTTTAATTCAAAAAGAAATTTGCTTAATAAAAGATAAGATTTCTTTACATTTGAAGATTATGAAGTTTTTAAGAACAGTTATAAAACTTTTAAACATTTGTTGTGATTGAGTATAAGTACTTTTAACCAAGAGAATGTAATTGCTGTTTCAAAGATTAGGATTTTTTCTGTAGATATGTTGTTTTAATCTAATTTTTTGTGAAAAATATAAGGATGAGCAAGACTCGGTGCGCCTCCTAGCAGCCGAAGCTTGCGCGGCTGTAGCAGCGCTGCTGCCTCCCGAGGATATGGAGCAGCTGGTGATGCCGACAGTACGCGGCCGAGCTGGAGATACCTCGTGGCGAGTGCGATACATGGTTGCCGATAAGTATGTATAACATTAACACTACTCGTACAGTAAAATAATATCAAAGAAAGAATGGCTTTCCAACATAAAAAAATGTTGAGCATATCAAATTAACTGATAGCAAGGTTTTTCAAAAGAATTCGAAAACAAAAAAGTGTGAAAAGCATTTAAAAGTGTGAAGCATAGATAAGCTACAAATTAAGTGTCCCAAACAACCTCTGTCTGTCATTCTCAAAACGTGAGCCCAGCGTCCAGTGGGTGTTAACATCTGCAGATGCTAATGTGACTCATGGTTAAACTTGTTTTATGAAGGTACGAAATAATAAATCTTTGATCAACCATTCTATGATTGCACTTAAGAAAGTTTCTTGAATCTCCATACTGCAGACTGAGCTCCTTATTAGAATTTTATTGATTTAAATTACTTATTGGCAGGTTTGTAGAGCTACAACAAGCGGTAGGCCCAGAACTAGCCCGCACCGATTTGGCACAGATCTTCCAAGCTCTGTTGAAAGACACAGAGGCCGAAGTACGAGCAGCAGCCGCCGGCAAAGTAAGGAATTTACATAAAGTCCATACATGAATTTGAGGCACTTAAACTTATTCGAATCAAGCAAAGTTCTCTAAATGTTGAGTTGATGAGGATGAGTCAATATTATTACTTGTTATATACAGTAAATAAAAATTATTGTAAACTTTTACACTTTCACCAATTATGAAGTCACTTATAATTTCTTTTTTTTTTTATTGATTTCTACAACATAATAAGATTATCTGTCAAATAAAATATAATCATTAAATATCTAAAAAAAAAAATTAGGATAAAAAATATTATACACTCCTAAAAACTAAAGCATTTGCCGACCTCCTGTCACTAGCACCAAGAATATTGAGACCTAATTTATTATTGCTTTTTCGATATTCCGGATCACAAAAATTTCACATTCCATGCGATGAAAATATATCCATATCAATTCATTGTTTTACAGGTAAAAGACTTCTGTATGAACTTGGACAAGGCACACCAAGAGCACATCATCATGACTATGATCCTGCCACAGATCAAGAATCTGGTCTGCGATCCCAACCAACATGTCAAATCTGCTCTTGCTTCAGTCATCATGGGCCTTAGTCCCATAGTCGGCAGGCAGAATACCATAGAACACCTCCTCCCATTATTCTTGACTCAGCTCAAAGATGAATGCCCTGAAGTCAGATTGAACATCATCTCGAATTTGGAATGTGTCAACGAAGTAATTGGCATACAACAACTAGTACAATCTCTGCTACCTGCTATAGTTGAGTTAGCTGAAGACACTAAATGGAGAGTTCGACTTGCCATTATAGAACTGATGCCTCTACTAGCTGGGCAATTAGGACAAGAGTTCTTCGACGAGAAACTCACGGGACTGTGCATGTCGTGGCTTATAGATCATGTTTACGCTATACGCGAAGCTGCTACTCTGAACTTGAAGAAACTGGTGGAACAATACGGATCTCAGTGGGCTGAAACTAATGTCATTCCTAAAGTTCTCGCGATGTCCCGTGAACAGAACTACCTACACAGAATGACGTATTTGTTCTGCATAAACGTCTTATCCGAAGTATGCGGCAAAGATGTCACAACTAGAGTATTATTGCCCACCGTCTTGTCTATGGCTGATGACAATGTTGCCAATGTGAGATTCAACGTCGCTAAAACACTCCAAAAGATGGCGCCTTTCTTAGATCCAGCGGTGATACAGCCTCAAGTAAAGCCGGTGTTGGAGAAATTGAATGTAGACCCAGATGTGGACGTTAAGTACTTTGCGTCCGAAGCTATAGTGGGCATTGCCGGTTAGGCTGGTTTAACTAATAAACGCATTTGTGTATCCATAAATTAATTAATACTTTAGAATCTACTCCTGAACAAAAAAAATGGAAACCATCACATTTTATGCCTTTATTTTGTATAAGTATTTGGCACCAAATTTTAATGTCATTAGATTCTCTATGGTACTGCAACAAATCATTGGATATTGCTCTCCTCACCATAAAAATATAATGGAATCAATGTGTATCCATTACATATATAGAGATTTTTTATTTCTTTTTACAATGATCCATTTTCCATCGTCATTGTTCAAAATTGACTTACAAATAGACATGCATTTTGGAAAAATATGCACGTGTTTTACATTCGTCTTTTTTTATAATCGTAAGAATCATTTTACCCGCAAGGAAAATAAACTTTCTTCAAGTATTATTAAACCACTTATTGCATATTCCAAGATGCACCTCTTTTTCTTAACGCAGGGGAAATGCAATCTTAGCCTTAAACCAAGGCTTTCCGACCCCACACCCGTCCTGAAAAGGACAGGCTTATGCGAGACTCTCCCGGGGGGTGGGGAAAGGACCCGGGATCGGCAAGGAGCCCGCCGGGTCCAGCCCACCCCAAGATCCACCTTTAACTAATTGATACAGAGAATGGTTTCAAAGCATTTCGTATTGTTAAATAAGTTAAATATATAGGTATAAAATTAAACATAATAGTTTTATTTTAAATTACCCTTTATTTCTCATTTTCCAACTTTTAAATCGGGACCGGAAAATGTCCGTTCTAGTGTTACCTAATTAATGTGTATAAATTTTAAAGAATTGTTTTGTGAAGCTTATGCTTTTTTAACCGTATTATTATTACATAGTTCTATCTGTGGTACACGTTAGGCCGTTGGTCTCGGCTGCATTTGCAGTCGTTAATACCCTCCAATCCACATTGGGTTAGCGTGGAGAGTCATGGCCCATCGTCCTTAATTAACAATCCATAAAAAGGTCCGAGCCACCTCAGTGAGGACGTAAGAAGACTGGTGAAGTCTAATACAACTTATTTCTTTTATTTTTAGTTCAATTTCGTTATTTTTTATTTCATTCCTTTTAGTAACCAGTAAATATATTTTTGGAAAATACTCATAATACCCATATATTATTTTTTTACTCTTTTATCTCGCTCGGAAACTACATAATTTGCTATCTGTAAGTGTAAATGAACAAATTTTTTTTTCTCTTAACCTATCTGTGATGGATCAATAATTAATTTCAAAATCACAGGGTGGCGCTGCTAGCCTGACACACTCAAGAAATTGCAGAAGTTACTTTCCAATGAAGACTTAAGTATGTAACATGCAATTCTATTCATAATAATTTTTCATGATTGTAGAACGCTGGCACCTCTAATTTTGATTATAATTCTTTATATTTACATTAGAAAATATGGAATAAAACATTAAAAAACTTTCTATACTTTTTATTTCCATCGAAAACAACAGTATCCTATTAATTCACTTTTAATCACTGAAATATAATCTAGTTTTGGAGTGAACAAGGAGGACAGTAATTTGGAATGTAACACATGTTACGGACAGTGGATATATAATTATTTACATATTAATAAATATTTGTCAATTCACATATGATCAACTACAAGCGAGTATCACATTATACTTCAATATTTTTTTATCTCAATTAGATTTGAACACATCTTAACAATTAGTGCACAAACTATAATGCATTAGCATCAGTTATTAAAAAAAGTGTTTACAAGCACCAACAAACCGAAAAAAAATGGCAACTATTAAAAATATATGTAAGATTTAATAATTTCTTTGTTTCAGGCCTATGCTATTTTCGTTAAAGGAAATTATATACACAAGACGGAATAATGGCTGATTACAGACATATTTAGCGATTTCGATTTCATCATCAATATTGATCGTAATACAGTAATACACATTAGACTATTAACAACTTACTATTATAATAAACAATATATTATTTTACAAATTAGTATGACGAGATGTTCCATCTTTAATATCAAGTTTTTCGATATCGTTTGGAACATCGCTCCACATTGTATTTCCTGATAGCTGACAATGTCACTCACATTAATATTCCTGTATAAACAGAAAGTCTAATAAAATATGTATAATAAAATGTATCCATTATATTCATATAAAATTGTATCTATTTTTAAACGACAATAAATGTAATAACAATAAAAATAATTCTCAAAAATGAGTAATATTATTTTTATAGAAATCGTGAGTATGGGTTTGTCACTCACAAAGTGACTAATCAGTATACCTGTGAGTGATATCGTCAGCGTATTAGGATGGAATTTAGTGACGGGAGTCGCGAGGGTAGAACTCTGCGAGGATGGACGCGGGTATACGTTTCAACATCTCCTTGGGGAAGATACGCAGCAACTGCCAACCGATGTCCAAAGACTCGAATACTGTGCGGTTTTCGTAGTTACCCTGTTAAATTTATAAGATGATGAAAAACTAGAAAATTGTATTCCGTCTAGGAAAATACATAAAATAATAACAATAAATTATTAATTGTGCTGAGGTTCATTATATATTCTTGAGGGAAATTCGGTTGACAGAAGTACAAAAAACAACAATATAAAATTTACAAATTCATTAATTACTTTTCTTGTATCGGAATACAAATTATAAGCTAAAGTTTGGTCTCTCTTTAGATAAATTTTCTATCAATAAATCAATCAAATCTTACACTTAATACCCGGTTTCTGAACTGAATATTTAGGATTCAGCACATCCCAAACTGTACTTAAACAAGTTTTCGTTTCTGATTTTAGTTTTTTTATTGATCTGTTGATAGTAAAAGCAGTTTGATAAAAAGTAGGCCATTTGGCTTGTGAAAAAGAAGAAACTTAAATTATTGAGAATCAATCCGCACTGGGCCCGGCCCCAGCAGGGAGGACATTCAAAGGCTGGTGATTTGAATCAAATAGTATCCTCTTAATATTTATGACGAATACTGCTAATGTTGTGAGTTGTTTTTTAAATAGGTACTTATTCGTTTTATAGAACAACTTTATCGGTAAGATTATGTTACCTGGGTAATGAAGTTCTTCTCGAACTTGGTGAGGAACTCTAGGTAGAGTAAGTCGTCGGGCGTGAGAGCTTCCTCGCCGACGACGGCCTTCATCGCCTGCACGTCCTTACCGATGGCGTAACACGCGTACTGTACAAACATTGTATATGTCAGGGTCCGTAATTATAAAGATAATAATTTTTTTTTGATAATTATCCGTAGTCAATTACAACAATTTTTTAAACACAGAATGGCATTCATAATTAAAGTAACTTATATTTTTATTGTTTTAAACTATTAAAATTATACAAACAAAAATTTACTGTGAAAACACATTGAACAACAAGTGAAATTAACATATTTTTTATTAATAGTAATATTAACTTCAATTTAGGGGCAAAAATATCAGCACTTGTGTTTTTCATATAAGAAAAGAACAAATCATATAAAAACAACAAATATAATATGTTACCAGCTGGTTGGAGACATCGGAGTGATCCTTGCGCGTCATTCCCTCGCCGATAGCGGACTTCATGAGACGAGACAAAGACGGTAACACGTTCACTGGCGGGTAAATCTGCCTGTTGTGAAGCTGACGGTCTACGTAGATCTAGTAAAGGAAAATTAACCAGTTGTAAACACTAAAAATCCATTATTCGATTAGCAATGTTTTATGTAATGCGTTTCATTTATTTAATTAAAATACAAGGTAAACTAATACGATGATCGCAATCGCACGGATCCAGCTCGAAGGATCAAGAAAAGTTTTTTTTAATAGAGAAAGCTTAAAGAATTCAATATAAGCACACCATTTGTCCTTGGCATCGTAACTTTCAACAATTTAGTGGTAAATAAACAAATTTGTTATAACTCTAAACTAAAAGCAATATAATTTTAATTTCTGTACTTAAATATAATCATACACCTGGATAATAATTATAATTAAAACTTATTTTCTCTTCACACAGAATAATATCATTTATGCTAGTTGGTTACAAATACAATTGTACTAGTTGAGTTTTTGGTGTGACACTGATGTCTAAACTAAATGGTCAGAAGATTATAATAGACCATCATGCGTCCACTCCCGAGGAGGGAATGACATGATCATTTTTATAAATAACTACTTTTGGGCACTATATTAGTAGCGTATATATTATAATCTATTTTATTTATTAATTCAAAAATGATATGCACAGCAATTTCTTGTCCTAATAATTTAACAAGGTCTAATAACGCTACTTCTATTTTCTGCATTTACAGAACTGAAAAGACATGTTTAAAACTAAACTTAGTCTAATTTGTGAAACAATATCGCTGCCAATATATGTGGAAAGATGCTTAACAACTTTGTGAATACTAAATATTTAATATGATGAAATAAAAGTTCCTCACCTGTCCCTCAGTAATGTAACCCGTTAAATCGGGAATTGGATGGGTGATGTCGTCGTTAGGCATAGTAAGAATGGGGATCTGAGTGATCGAACCGTTCCTGCCTTCTACACGTCCGGCACGCTCGTAGATAGTGGCCAAATCCGTGTACATGTAACCTGAGCAAATTAATTTTTTTTTTTTTTTTTTTGGAAACTGCTAAGATGAAATTTTAAAAAAAGAAATATTCGAAACAATAATACATGTGCAAAGCAACTAATAGCATTCTAATTGGAAAAGTCTTTTCAACTTTTTCAATATTTTTCAATATTATACTCATACATCATTCTTTTTTTTACAGAGCAGTAAAAAAAAGAATGATGTACGAGTATAATATTTGTAGATTTTTACATTAGGTAAAATATAATTAATAATAATATTTATTAGACCACAACAAGCGATATACCTACATGATTTTTGTTACATCTAAGCTTATCATATACTGAATTTCCGTATTTCAGCATACATACATATATTTTAAGCAGATCAGTAACATTGAAATTCGTTTCTTATATTGAAGTCTAAAGACAAAAACAAATGTTTTCCTCAATTAATTTAATTATCAGAAAAAAATATAAACACTAAGAACTTATAGTAAGGGTTCAATTCACATGTAGTATATGAAGTGAACCTGTGCAAATCCATGTCAGGTTGCTAGTTAAATAACAACAAGTCATAGACAAACTACGAACCTGGGAAACCACGTCGTCCGGGCACTTCCTCACGGGCGGCGGACACCTCACGCAAAGCTTCAGCATACGAAGACATGTCCGTCAAGATTACCAACACGTGTTTCTGTTGTAAAAATAAATAAATAAAATTTATTAATTGAACTAATAATTAATATAATAACAAGCGAGGAGCTTTTTGGCGCATTGGTTAGCGCGTTCGGTCGTTGAGGAAGTTAAGCAACTTTTGGAAGGGCTGGTCATAGGATGACCAAAACATTATTATCTCTTGGTCATGGCCCATTCTTCCTGAATAGTACCCCCTATAGGGGACGGCCCCTACTTTAGGGACGACAACAGGCTGATAATGATGAATAAAACATAAAACATGGACGCTGTTCCGCAAAATGGTTTTAACTGACATCAATGTCATTTCGAGAAAAAATCGATTAAAGATTTTGACGTAAGTTGATTTTTAAATTTGATATAACTTATTTCATTAAAGAGAGAATAGCTTGTAATTTTGCATATTACTAGATTTTCTTGATTTTGTTATTGCATATAAATCTAAAAGTTATCACAATAACTTTGATTGATAATAAATACGATAAAAATTAATACCTTTTTGCTTAAAGTATTGATTAAAATTTACTTTCAAATGGTTTTATGTGCCTTTAAGCATAAGAATACCAAATAATGCTATTATTATTTTAGAAGTAAAAAGGAATCAACTTTATTCTTCCTAAGTAGCTTTTTATTTTATCGTAAGTACTTAATAATTACAACAAATTTCACTTTTTTTCTAATTTTAACCATAACGACATTTATAAAAATAATGGCCGGTTTTGGGTTGTCAGCAGTCTTTGAAGAAATTAGTGTGAAATGAATATACTAACGCTAAGGAACAACTTTTGCTTTGTAAATTTTGTTGGATTTCATTTACTTTAGAAAATGATTATTAAATACGAAAACGAAATAATGCAATTGCATAGAACAATATCGCATATTAATTATTTATTATTTGGGTAGACCTAATGCTACCATATGTACACAATAAACCCATTATGATGAGTTCGACTACCTGCTCAGGCGAACAACCAATCAGCGTCGAGCGATAACAAGACATGGGACAGCTCGGCGTGCGCGCCGCTCTCCATATTTTTGTGTGCCGAGTTGTGATCGAGAAGCGATCGCTCATTATTATTGTTAGTGTTCGAGTGGAAGGCACACGGTCATATGCTACGCACACATTACCAGTGCTATCAATAAACAAGGTTTTGCTTACGCTAAAATTGCAATTTAAGTATTAGTCCATATCATATTATACAGACAATAAGCAAACCTACTATCTTCTAGGAGTAAATATTACACCCGTAGAACCTCGTATTGAGTAAACCTTTGCTAAGCCTCAGTTTAATAATATTAATTTTGACTAATAAAGTGCAGGTTCAGCGTAAATTTACTCCAACAATAAACAAGTTATTTATAACACTGTATGTGCGTAGTCTGGTACTATCGGTTGGGCAAATAACAGGCAGAAGATAAACGATCACCACCAGAGAAGTGCTATTATAGAACACCAATAGAAACTGATAAGCCCTGGACCTTCTTATAAAACAGTATATATAATAATTATTGTAAACATTAACTTAAGAAAAACAAAAAACCCGACTGCGTAAAAACGACCTATAAAAATACCTGAAAAAATTAACTAAAATAAAAACTAAAAAGAAAGAAACAAGCCCAGTAGTTTAGAATTCTGGTTAAGTAATACTAAATAACTACACATTTGAAATAGTTTTATAATCGATACACACATAAAACAAATCATAAATTCTAATGCAGAACAGAATGTCTCACAGTTGGGGCCCAATCAAATCTTTCCAAGGGCGTCGCTCCTTTGCATCGCGCAGTCAAGTAAAAATTGGTGTATTATTAAGTAATAAATAAGTGCTCATACTGATAAAATAAGATTTTTTTATTTCACCTTAACCAACCTTTTTTACTCTATATTTAAGCTTATTCAATCATCACTTCTCGAAAATAAAAAATATATTTATCTTCTTTTAAGTATATTTTGGCGATAAAACATCTCCATTGTATTTGTAGGACTACATAATATAAATATTACACTTGCAACAATTATTCGGTTAGTATTCAGCCTATTTGGCTGCTTTTGTTATATTTGACCAAATACTGAATACTTTTGTTGTACTAAGATAGTTGTTAAAATAAAAGAAATTATTGATTTATCTTATATAAATACTGTTTTCATGTTTCTTATAATAATGAAAGTCATTACAACATATAGTACATAATCGTATTCTGTATCAGTGATGTGCCGGATCGTTAAAAATGTATATCCGCGGATACGGATCCGAATACGGATATTTGGTGTCAAGATCCGCGGATACGGATACGGATCTTTATATATATACTATATGTGTCAAGTTCCTCTAATTTTCACTGTGTTTGCTCATGTAATTTAATGTTTACACTTTATATGGTAAGTAGTACCTACTAGGTACGCAGTGTTAATTTACTTCATTAGAATAAATTTTTGGTTTTCTCATCATCTCATAGTTATAAAAGTGATCTTATAACTTATATTTTTTTTATTATATTGATCTCATTATAACTATAAAAAAGATTTAAATTTTGGTTTTCTCATTTTCTTATATATATAAAAGTGATGTTATAACTTTCTATAATATTTATCTCATTATTAAGATAGTTGACCTTTGAGTTATCTACTATTGGTATAGTAACTTACCTACTACGATAAATGTTAGCAATATAAAGGTGCCAAATATTTGATTTTAAGAAATAATAAATACTTGAATTGAATTTTATAGTTTTTTAAATCTACCTAATCACCTATATATAGCATTTCATCCTATCAATTGAAAATTAATAAGTTAAAAGATCCGTAAATTATCCGCGAGTAAAGTAACGGATACGGACACGGATATGGATCTTTATTTTCCGTCGGATATCCGCGGATACGGATACGGATATCCGGAACATCACTATTCTGTATTATTAAAATTTAATGATTCTTTTATCCATTTGAATTGTCGTAATCAAAGTTTAGAAGTGGAAAGTCATGGTATAGAAAGATTATTTTTTCTGCATTTTTAGGAAGTAGTTAAAGGCATCAAGTAACACAAAGCTTAGATCAGACAAAATATTTATCATAAGTTTATAGGAAACAGCACTGTGTTTTTTTTTTTTTTAATGTGGTCAAGTTAAATAAATCCTTTCTGCAGATTTATGAATACATCATTAAGTATTTAGCAAAACATTATTTGTTGAATATATGCAAATATATATTTTTATACAGTAATTGACATCTCACGGACCAGTAGAGTTAATTTTGCAAACAAAATGGCACCAATAACATTTTTTTTATATTTTGTCGCTTGAAACCATTTTGCAGAACAGCATCCAAATATATGTTACACAACATCACATGCATTGCTCAAATCTCTAAAATAAGTCGAGAAAATACTCACCTCGCACTGATAAGCCAGGAACTCAGCAGCAGTAAGCGCCAAACGTGGTGTGATGATTCTCTCAATAGTAGGATCGTTGGCCAAGTTCAAGAACAGACACACATTCTCCATAGAACCGTTCTCCTCGAAGTCCTGCTTGAAGAACCGAGCAGTCTCCATGTTGACACCCATAGCGGCGAATACTATGGCGAAATTGTCCTCGTGGTCGTCCAAAACTGATTTGCCGGGGATCTTGAGAAATATCAAAATAATTATTATATATATTGCCAGGAATCTAAACCGAAATAATGATAAAAACAGTAGCAGATCTAATTAGCAAGAAACTGAGCTCTTTTTCTTCCTTCTGTTATCTATACTAATATTTTAAAGAGGACATATTTTATTATATATTTGCATTGAATAGGCTACGAAACTACTGGACGGATATAAAAATCTTTCACCTATGGAAAGCAACGTCATACGCGGATAACATAAATATAATTTACGCAAGAGTAGTCGCGGGGAAACAGCTATAATAACCTATAATAAAACCTCATTGCAAATCAAGTCAAATCAAAAGATATACTAAAAACTGACCAAGAATAATTGTATACGTACCTTGACAAGACCAGCTTGTCTACAGATTTGTGCGGCGATTTCGTTGTGCGGCAGACCGGCGGCTGAGAAAATCGGAATCTTCTGTCCACGAGCGATGGAGTTCATCACGTCAATGGCGGAAATACCTGTCATCAAAAATATGTTACTGGTATCATCTCCAAACCAAACTGAACTGCAAAATGATAGAAATATCAAATATTTCTATGTTAATAATTATCTTAAGCTCATCTTTATATTTCAGATTTTTAACTGGTGACTGAGATCATGTACCACCAGACTGATAACAAATATTAAATTAGTAACGAAAAATATTAAAACCAGTACTAGATAATGTCAAAATTACAATAATAATCCAAAATGTTGATAGATGTCCAAGATAAGTCCACGTAATTTCCGACAGCCAAAACAAATATTAATCGCATAATTAACATACCAGTCTGGATCATTTCCTCGGGATAAATACGTGACCAGGGGTTGATGGGTTGACCCTGGATGTCCAAGAAATCTTCAGCTAGGATTGGGGGCCCTTTGTCAATGGGTTTTCCAGAGCCGTTGAAAACGCGGCCTGTTATAAAACAAATCATTATTGCTGTGTGTGTCGAAAAATATCTCATGTCTGACACAGTGGCGGACTAAGACTCTTGTCCCTTGACTCTTGTCCTGGAAGGGGTCTCCAAATGGCTGCAAGTTCCCCTGATCAAATCATAAATTGGGGTTGTATCACCTTATCTTTTTTATGTTCAGTTTCTTAATGAAAATTTGCATTTGTGTATTTTAAATATTGATAATATGATGATGTAATTGAATTTGAATGAATAGGGATGATGACTAATTTTTGTTTGTTTGTCCGTCAGGTAGAGTGTTAAAAAATATTAAACACGTATTTTTTTCGTAATCATAAAATTACGGCGTTACATGGAGTTGAAATTTCGCATGACGTCACGTTATGCTACATTACAAAATCATAACTATCATTTTATTATTCATGAGCCTTACCCAACATGTCCTCTGACACAGGTGTGCGAAGAATATCGCCTGTGAACTCGCAAAGAGTGTTTTTCGCATCGATGCCCGAGGTGCCCTCGAACACTTGGACAACGGCCTTGGAGCCACTGACTTCCAGCACCTAATTATAGCAATATTAAACAAATAAATAAATCTCCATCTCCATGGATGGGTAAATTTTCAAACTTTTCCTGGACATAGCTAATAGTATCCCAGTAAAATTATACAAAATCAATAAGCATGGAGCAACTTAAATATAAGCACCGCTTCATAGCTATGTGGTGTGGCATTTTCATTAAATCTTTAGTGAACCTAGTGATAATTTTTTCATTCATAATTGATCTTTATACCAAATATTGCAAGTGTGAAATAAATAACATAAGTGTGCCACCTAGCAAGAGCATACGAAGTGTCACCAATTACTAATTTACAGATTTAAAATTATAATATTACAGTAAATCGACTACTATATGACAATTAATTCTTTGAATTTTTAATTAGAAAATGGCTCTTATACATCATTTATTAACTCTTTTTTAGCTTCCATCATTTTAATATCTCAATAATATAATACCTGCTTTTTTATTGGAATTTTATGTGCACTTTTAAATCAAATTGTATTTAATAAATGATAATATTTCTTTCTTAGTATTACATTTATGTGTATTGCAATTCTGTGCTGACCATAAAAGATTGATATATGTATGTTTATACTGACTTCTTTGGCTGATATATAGTACAATGTTTTTTATATAAGACAATTTACAATTAGCAAAATCACCATACCTGACCAGACCGGAGCGTGCCATCTGCAAGTTTCAGCTGTACAATCTCCGAAAACTTGGGGTACTTGACTTCATCAAGAATAACCAGCGGCCCATTGACACCCGACACAGTCTTGTAAGCTAGATTGATTTAAAAAATATCATAATTATGTGAGTTGACAAAACTTATTGCTAATTACAATATAAATATGTAGTAGAAAAAGAGACATTCCAATAATAATTTTGGATCATGGAATAAGAAACTTGCAATGCAACCAGTATAAAAAAATTACTAATCTATAGCATCTTAATAATATAGTCAAAATATATATCTAATTGAAATTATTCAAAGTTTAATCACATGACAACACATAAAGACCAGCTAATTTTTAACATCAATATGACAAAGGTGAATTAAATTTATTCTTGAAGTTGATAGTATAAATAGAAATATAATTTTCCTAAGCTTACAGTTCCATCATATTAAATTAATACAACATTATTACATAAACTGATAAAAGTAGTCTTAATTAGGAAAATTCGTAGAGTTGAAACCAATTATATAAATTCATGCACTTTTGATCATGGATTTCTTAGATGAGATATCGTCATGAATGTAAGTATCTCATGATTAGAACATTTGATTCGGATCAATGAAAAAAATGACATGAATAGTTCACCCTAGAAAGGGATATAAAAGTGGCAAAGGTGAGGTCGTATTAAGAATACACAGAATTATTCATCCAGGTTACAATCCCGGTAAAAAATGAATAAAGAGATTGTTTCAAAATATAAGAGGCGTTGATAATTTGGAGCAAAATCGATTCCCAATTGACAAAAATATGACGTTTCATTCTGAAGTCAAATATAATTAATTCTACTTACTCAAACGGGGCTGGGAGATGAAGTCCCGGGACACGGCCAGAACATGTTCTTTATTGGCCTGGGAAGCTGATAGCGTCTTAGACATTTTTCTGTTTTCACTTTTAGGTAGCCCGTTCAATAAAATACTACACTGCGCTACCTCCTCGCCCGAAAACTGACGAATGGAAGAATTGTCTATGCCTTTTCACGTGCTGTCACGTGATCTATCACAAGGAAAATGTTGTCATTAGGAAAATAAAATATCTATGATAAAAATTTCAATGATAGTTCTCAAAATTGAAATACTGTTACTAAGTATTTTAAAACATTTGCTTCAATAAAATGTAAAATACTCTTTGATTAATATAAAATAGTTTCTACAATAGCCTTGTCTATCATTAATAATGATAATAGGTGAATTATCAAGTTTCTTACATTTATTATTATGCGGTCTAAAAAGATATCCTTTTTTTTATATTGGTAAATAGCTCGCGCTATTCAACATTACTTCCGCGCGCCTAAAATAATATATGAAAAAACCTGAAAAACCACAATCTGTGGGAAAAACGCAAACGCCTCCACAACAGACTGTCTGTGGTTTCTCTTCGCCTTTCCTTTGCGGAAAAGATCTACCAAAAAAATGTCTATGGTTCACAAGCACGATAGTCGATCGTGCATTCGATATTCTTTCGACTCATGTCCGATTTTCTGTATATAAATCTATATATGAGCAATTTTCTTTGCACAACTTACTATATTTATAAATAAATTTAAAGCAATCTTGTCTACTTTATTAAGGCAAGTTTAACGCCAGTAAGTACCGATGGGTCGTTATCCATTTTTTAAATAACGTCACGCAACCGCCGGATCACCAGTACCCGATATCAAAACTGTATGTTTTTGATAACTAGTTATTTTCACAACGCTATATATCGAATTTTACTCTTATGCAAACGCGATAATGATCAATTTTGGATTGGTTATTTGATCACTCCTATTGCCGAACTACACGGAACGTTAAAACAAATATCAGCTATTTCATTCATGCTTATACTGACATCCTGTCGTTGTTTCATTCACATATGACAGATTGCTAATAGCGATCCATATTATTAAAACGCTTTACATTACGTGTTACATTTTATGCGGTTATTAAAATTTTATTACATGACCGTCAATGTAAAGCGTTGATCTCTTAAAGATGTTTACGTATTGTTGCGAACTGTGATCACCGTTGCTTGGTGATCGCGGATATTGTAAAGCAAGTCACCCAAACATCAACCTTAAGTGATTTACTTAAGAGTGAATTCAGCTTTATTTTAAAGCGTTGTGGAAAATAGATAGTTATTGTATCACTGAATCACGAGTGATCGCGGTTCAGGCAAATCATCACTAATTGAATAACTGTCTATCGTGAATAACGTCCATCGCTACCGCCAAGGTTTACATAGGCATTATCAATGGTTATAAGATACCTAACACCCGTCTCTATAGTCGAATAAAAGTAATTACTTGAATGCTAATATTTTTAACAAATATAGAATTTGAATGAAGTAAGAACTATTAATAGAATACAAAGAATACTATTAACCATTTATTATTAACAATTAACAAACGGTGCTTATTTTATTTCAATTTCTCGTCTATTGGCTAAGAATATCTGCTTACCTAATGCTATTTTCTCAAGCAATCACTGTTCTCGACTAGATACAAGTGTTAGACTCGGAGATGATCTCTTTTAGGAAGTCATTAAACAATTTATAACCATTTCATTCTAACTAACCAGCAATAGGCTTGTTAAGAACCTTTTATAGCTTCGCCATTTTGGTTACCAGTGTACTCAACCATGAGTTTTCACAAGGTATTTTTTTCTTAATATTTTATCGTAATGTCCATTTCTATAAAATTTTATCGAGTCTCATAAAATAAAATGTTACTTTCGAAAATACTGTTGTTAACACACAACCATTTTGTGTTTTTTTTTGTCATAACTGAATAATAAAAGTATACGTCGTGGCCAGCATGATGTGGCGGGCTATTTCATGAAAAGGAAAAAACTTGCTGCCCACTTCATTTAGAATAATTTAGGAGTCTAAACACTGAACACCTAAACTAGTCGAAACCGACAACAATGTGCCTGATATATATTGATAATAGATATTTCAATTCATTTAAAATTTTTGTTGTTACTGTCGTTTGGAACGATAAGTAAAATGAGAGACTAGGAAGTGACCACGATATAATTCAACTGTCAACGTCCCATTCACCTATTAGCCAAAAAACTAAATCAAATAAATGAAATTTAAAAACGCTGATTGGACTCAGTATTGGGAATATACAAATGATTTTTTTTAAGATTATAAGATTCTGGGAGATTTGTATGAAACCTATAATTTATTTATAAGTCATTTAAATAAATAATAAATAAATTTCAATCGCATCAGCTCGTTCGTTCGGCGACCGATAGAACGAGACAAGTCGATTGATTGAACATTTATGTTATGAATGGATTACAGAAATTGAGGACATAAACAAATGTTAATAACTTAGTTGTTTATAAATATTATAAAATTAAGATAACACACAATTAATGAAAAGGTCTTTTTTAATTAGCTCTAAAGTAGTATTGGATAACATGTAGGAAATAGTTAATGTGAAAAATATAAAAACATCGTCTTCATATCGATATTATGTCATATCGATTATTTTTGCCCAAGCCTATTAGTCTTTCGGACACCGGCGGTGAGGTTGGCGCTTGCCGTTTTGTGTCTTTTATATTTAAATAGTTTTTAAAATAATCACATTAGTTACCGGAGTAAAATAGTTCTATAAATTATTTAAAGATCAAAGCGGTAGTGTTTGTTCAAAATAATTTTGGAAATTAGACAAAAATGCCCGTTGTTGGAAAATTTATACCCTTATTAAATAATTGCAATTTTGGAAGAGCTGCACTTTCTCTATCTGCTGTAAAATCTAATCGAACGTACTTTACTTATACTCAAGAATTATCACAGCCTTTGGACCGCTCTCCAGAATTTGTGACTGCTCAGCAGGCCTTCGAAAAATGCTTGAAATCGGGTATGTATGTGTGTGTTCACAAATTATTCCACTACGTATTTGCTAAATTACAGATAATATACTATTTGTATCAATATGTTAGTTTACTTTGAAATGTTTTTTGCACTGACGTCATACATAATTTGCATATAATGCCTACATTTCAAGTTATAGTGAAGTTCGTCCTATGTAAACGTGTAGTTAGCTTACTACTTGTAAACATGAATTGTCATGAATATTTAGTGTCGTCATTCTACTATGCAACTGATAGGGCAGAAATTGGACTTACTGATTGTTTTGTCCTTGTTTTGGGAACCTTTAACCCTATAGCTCTTGATTTAAAGTTCATATTGGTTCTGTTCCCTAGCATTGGGGATAAACAAGCTTAACTAGCTGGTTTGAAGATCAATATTTTAGTTACTATTACATGATCGCTATTGATTGATCTGATATATAGTAGAATAGTTTATATGATTTCTTGAATAATTATGTGATTTAAAATTGTTGCATATTTTCTGTAATCTCATATTATAATTTAATGGAAAGGGGCATTAGGTATAGAATACAGAAAGGCTAAACTGTACAATATCCCCCCACGATATGAAAGTTGGTAATTTTTTGGTGAAAAGATCTATAAATATAGACATAATTCTGTAAAGTTTCATTTTACGGAACTCCATAGTTTTTGAGGAAAAAATTTTGAAAATAAAAAATTCCTAACCAAAATTGACATTATTTGACAAGTTTGCTTTAGCTGTACTTTTTATTTGGGGTGGAGACAAAGGCAATTTTATATACAGCCAAAAAAAAATCTAATAAAATCAAAATTGTGTCGTAATTTACGTAAATTAAAATATACATATTTCAAACATGTTAATATTAAAAAAATGTGCAAAATTATTGTATAATATGATTACATAATTAGAAAAAATATGCTTTAGATTAAATTTTATCTGTATAGAAACGAAGACCGAAATGCAAAATGACGCTATTTTAAGTTTATACAAACAATCTGTCCCTTCTTCAGTGCCTCATAGTGACCAAGTGATAGACTCTAGTGTGCCGCTTGTTCCTAATACTACAAAAATGAGTCGCTACCAGAGTTTTTTTTTTTTTTTTTTGTTTTTTATGCAGGTTTCCCCCACTGTATAGCAGGTCGGCTGTTCATTCTGTTTAATTTTTTATGCTTTCTGTTCTTTTGTTTTTAAATATATCTTTTTTAGCCTTTTTGGGGATCGCTCTTTTTTCCCTCTTTTGAATGCATGCTTATTTCTATTACATTTGTCATTTTATACTGTTACAGTTTTTACTTATATTTATTTACATATATTTACTTATCTTATACTTTTACATTTGTACATTTCTATGTTATATTTCTAGGTTTATTACATTTACATTTTTATTTATTACTATTTACTTTGTTTACAGTGACAGATTTTTACTTACAACTAATATCACAGTTTCTTGTTTATCCTTTTATATCTCAATCTTAATCTTTATTTCTAGCGTTTACTTTTTTGAGTATTTCACATGCATGCTTTACAAATACATTTCTTTCACTCTTATTAGCCATTATTAATTTAAGGTTTAATTTACTAAGTTTTGTGTCAATATGACTCTGTAGAGTGTGCCTGATATTATTATAGATGCCCCATTCTAAAATGACATGAAATATATCTTGTTTGATTTGGGGGTCGCACTCACAGTATGGGGTATCCTTACATTTATATTCATGGAGGTAGGACCTAAACCCTCCATGCCCCGTTAACAGTTGCGCAGTCCATCTGTCATTCCTCATCTTTCTTACGACGCCGAAGGCCTCTTCTCCACTAGGGAAAAAGACCTTCGTCGTGGCAGCAGTGCTTTCGCTCTTATACCGGTTGTCCCATTCTACTTTTGTCAAACTGCGTAAATGCCTTTTGACAAAAGAGATGGGACACCCGTCATAATGCGGTTTACATTTCAATCCGAGAGCCGCCCCCTTCGCCAGTTCATCCGCTCTCTCGTTTCCGATCACGCCGACATGGGCCCTGATCCAAAATAAGGAGACCTTTCGGCCTAGTTCCTTAAGTTGGACCAGGTTGCCCTGAATTGCCTTCGTGATCGGATGCGAGGAGTCCGGATCCTGCAGCGACTGAAGGGCGGATCTCGAATCGCTTAGCACTGCTACCTCCTTCCATTCTCTGCTCATCATACATTCCGTTGCCTGGAGGATGGCATACAACTCGGCCTGGAAAACTGTACAGAACGGCTCCAACTTGAACTTTCGGGACGCGATCTCAACAGCCCCTTCCCAACAGGTAAGGGCTGCACCGACTTTTCCCTCCAGTTTACTGCCGTCTGTATATATTTTCACTTGGCCTTCTGCTGTTTTCCCATCCTCTTCGGCGTTTTCCACACATTCAAAACCTATCATACTGAGACTGCCGGGGTGGTTCGATTCCAGTAAGGATACCCTTTGCTCCACTTTTCTTCCGCTCAATATTTCCTGAGGTTTCCCGCGCTTTGCTTCATAAAGCCGGGATGCTTCTTGGACCCGAAGGTCCAGCGGAAGCAACCCCGACAATATCAAGGCGGAATTCAGTGACGTCGTCCTATATGTCTTTGCTATTTTTTGTGCGAACCCCCTTTGTACCGTATTTAAGACCTTTATACTTTTTATTTTCCCTGCTTCTTTGGCCCATACGCTAGCCGCGTATAAGATTATGGGCTCAATTACCGCTACATAAATTGTACGTATCACCTCAGGGTTTAAGCTCCAGGTGACCCTAGCCGCTGTTGTGATCCCTTTATAAATATTCAATGCCTTCCTACAAATATATGATATGTGATTGTTAAAAGTGAGCTTGTGGTCTATAATAACGCCCAAGATCTTAATTTCGGTTTCAAGGTCAATTTTAATTCCACTCATTTTGAGTTGGGGGATATCATACTTCAGCTTTTTTGTTATAATCATTGCTTTAGTCTTTTGGGGTGCAAAATTAAGTTTATTTGATATCCCCCACTCTTTGACTCTATCCAATGCAGTGTTAGCTTTAATTTCGATTTCTTGGGCGTTATCAGCTGAAATTATAATTATCACATCATCAGCGAAGGCTTGGCAATACACTCCAGTCAGGGTGAGTATATTTAGCAGGGGGTCTAAAATTAAGTTCCAAAAAAAGGGTCCACTGATGGACCCTTGAACACATCCTTTATTAGTTTTCCTTTCGATTTCTTCCCCTGCATATCTCACCCTGACTGACCTGTCCTGTAAGTAGCTTGCCACCAGTCTTCTCAAATTTATTGGGCATTCCATGGTCTTTAGTTGGCGGTGGATTTTGGGCCACCAGGCATTATCGAAGGCCCCCTCTATGTCCAGCGAAATTAGGGCGACAATCTTCCTCTCATCCAGATTGCTCCTAATCCGCTGGACCATATCATACAGCTACCAGAGTATTAGGTTAGGTTAGGTTAGAACTGCAACCTTAATAAAAAACGAATCGCTGCCAGAAATAACCAGCTACCAGAATAATAGGTTAGGTTAGGTTAGAACTGCAACTTCAACAAAAAACGAATTGCTGCCAGAAACAACCAGCTACCAGAATAATAGGTTAGGTTAGGTTCCGGGGGACGACATGGGCCCGTTGGCAGCGGGAAGGGCGTGTCACAGAAGGTGACACCCCAACAAAGACGGCAAGGGGGTTGGGATTGCGTATTAGCGCATCCCATCCTTCTGTGGATCGGCGGGACGAGGGCTGACACCCCACCCTGCACCCTGGCGAGGCTAGCTCGTCGGGACGGTCCACCGTCGGGGAGGAGTTGTTATTCACCCAAGCTCCTCCCATCCCGCAGAGGGCGACTTCTCTCTACCCCCTAGAGAGGAGTCCCAGCGCGGATTGAGTCTGGGCCCTCCTTGCTGGATACCAGACTCATCCATTCGCGTGAGGTGAACCGCAGCGGGTTTTACCAGGTAGGGCCTTCACTTACTGCCCTTCTCAGGGCGGCCTGTCCTTTTCAGGACAGGGGTGGAGGAGGAGCCCTGGTTTAAAGCTTAAGGTGCATTTCCCCTGCGTTATCAAAAAAAAAAAAAAAAGGTTAGGTTAGAACTGTGATTCCAACAGTAAACGAATTTCAGCAGAAAAAATTTATAGAATATTCTTTATAATTTGCTTTTTCTTATTCTTTTAAGATCAGTGAGTAGTTTTCAATCCATATATTACACAAAGTTTCATAATATGAGTATTTGTACACTCGCATAACCTCAAACTTCAATCATGAATATCTCTGAAACTATGCATTTCCGTAGGAGGGGGGGGTGGTTTTTTGGAAGGTTAATATACCCCCCTCTCTCCCCCACCCCCCAAAATACTAAATTCGTGGGGGGATATTGTACAGTTTTACCCCCACAGCATTGTAATCGTAATATCATATCTGATTTGGCAAACTGCCAAATTGCTTAGGCATAGAAATGTCATATATTTGCTATATTCTACATAACTAATGTATCTTTTTGTACTCATGTCTTTGTCAGTCCATAACTGTTTTTGTAAATTTGGAATTATTTAATTATTATTTTTTGTATATTATAAAAACAGCTTTATTGGTAATTTATTTATTTTCCAAAATAAATCTTATGTTCATATACAAAAACACTAAAACTTTTTTTTAAATATAGTTACAAGAAAAGGCTTGCGTCCTACAAGTGTAAATACAGGTGTCTGTTATGTGTTCGGAAAATATGCACCTTTTCCTTCTTCTTGACAGCAGGTTGTTTCTCCAACTCAACACCAAGTGCCTATTTTGCATACTATAGTACAAAACATGGACTATTTCAACTTAAAAATATTTAACAATATAAATTTCACTGATTCAGAAAATATTACTTTTTGAAACTGATTCAGAAATTATTACTACAAAACTGCTAAAATACATATGGCATTAAATTAGTAATATAGAATGTTTCAACTTTCATAATAACAGCTATAAATGTTTATCAAAACACACAAATAACACAGATTTTCCAGATGCTTTTCGCTTCA